ACCTATGCAACAAGAGTTGTAGCTTTTTGGTCTGAGAAGGTCAGTGAAATGCCCTCAGGAAGGATTGTAATTTTTGATGAAGGGCATTTTAAGAAAACCCACAGAAATTGTTGTCCTCCCAATGGGTGGTACTGGGTCCTGGCTTATGTTTATTTTTCAGAATAACTTTAGTGTATACAAGCACATACATATATGTATGTATGCATGTGCAGAAACTTCCCTTTTGTATAAACGGGAGCATAGGAAATATGCTCTGTGATGCTATTCTTTACTTACATTTGCCTCGCAAGAACCTAGTTTAGCAAGCATTCCATGAAGAGATCTTCATTCTATATAAGAATTCTGATGAGTGCATCATAATTTATTTAACCAGTTTCTCTGGAATGATAAGTAAATGATTACCTATTTTGCAACATTCAAAACACTGATATAAGGACTAACTCCTTCACAAGTTATTTTTCTCTGATGCAAGTATATCTAAAGTTCTTTTGTATAAGCCAATTGCTTATTGTTACTTGACAATCTATATTCCCTGCTGCTAGTGTGCTGCTTTTATATATTGTTATAGATACCTGAGCCCAATCTTAGTCTTTACTTGAAAAGTCTTTTAAGCTCCACCTTCCTTGTCCCCCGGTAATAAACCTATTTCTGCGCCATTAGTGTGATGGTGGGGAAAGGAATAATGAACAATGTAAAACATACTGTAAGTCTTAAACTCTGGCCTCTCTTGTAGCTAACCAGCTCTATTTGCCACTCCACTGCCATGTCCAGTTCATTTTTGCTTTGTGGAATGCCTTCCTCTGTTCTTCCTGGCCCTTCAAATCATTGCATCCCGAGACAGTTCACATACCATCACATAATACTGCTTCCTGGATTTCTCCTTCCAAATGCTGAACACAATGTAGCCATTTGCTACATGCTCTCACAGGATGTACTTTTTGGAACTTGGATTACACTACATGCACAGTCCTCCTAATATATCAAACAGTAATGCCAAACACAAGGATGGTGCCTTTTTTTTTTTAAGATAACAGTAGATTTATTTATTTATTTTTAAATTTTTTTTTGGTGGAACCGGAGATTGAACTCAGGCCTTTGCCTTTGCACTTGCCAGGGAAGCGCTTATTCCACTGAGCCATCTCCCCAGCCCCATGGATGGTACCTTGTTTTATCACCCAGAATCTTAGTATAGCATTTTGCATCTAGTAATGAATGAAAAACAACAATATTCTATTTTTGTCTGACATGATGAGTTAATAATTGTAATGGAGATGTTACCAGTCTCTGTGCATCCTAGTTCTTTTTAAAAATTTCTTCTTCTTAGACATGTCAGAGCATACAGCCATGCAGGCTTGCATTCCTGCCAACTACACTGGCAGCCTGGGAAACAAGGGCACCATTTTGTTGTTTCTTCTGATGCTAGCTGGAAGCACAGGCAGCACCAATGTATGGTCGCCACTGCGGCACCGGGAGACCATAGGATGTGATTTGGAACCAGGCATCCCTTTTTATTATATTTTCATTATAAGTGAAGATTACTTTCTTGATTTCAAGTTATAAAATGGATACAAATTAATAGAATCTAATCTCTCCAATGCAGTTCTGACTATAACATGTTTAGAGGGTAAAACAGTAAATGCTGGATTTGAGAAAACGATGGCTCCAGGGTACCCTGTGTTCCAGTGGGCTGTCATCAAGGCATGGCTAACTCTTCATAGGGTGATCTTTTCTTTTTTTGGCTATTAGGTTTTTGAAGAGCCTTCTATCAGCCTCTTTGCTCTGGAACATTGTGAGGGAAGAGAGTTACATCTTGAGGAAGCTGTAAACTCTGTTTTGAACAAGGACCTGCATTTTTATACCCAGTCGGTGTGGGTGAAAAGTGGACTGTAAGTACAGGAAAAGAGCATTTCCTCCTTGCTTTTTTAAAAATCTTTTTTTATCTTTCAGGGTAGTGATAGTAGTTTAAATAAGAGAAAACTCAGCAATTTCCGTTATGGGGCAGCGTGCAGTAGCCTGGGGCAAAAGGACTGCCACCTCATCAGAACGTGTTGGGGAGATCAGCCAGATTTTTTTTTTTTAGGAGAAATTTTGTTAAATCAAGAATTTAAACTGTGAAAGTTTGCAAGACTAAGACTGTTTCATTGTACTTTGACGGCATGTTTATTCTAGAGCAGTTCCCTTGCATGTACTCATTCTCATATGGCAAGTTAGCCTGCTTTCCAGTGTTTGTTCATTTAGGTTGTCAGAGTGGACCCAGTGGGGTCTGTACTTTTGCAATTTGGGAGATTGCCTTTAGGAAAAGGAATATGAAATTACACATGATTATTTATAACAAAAAAGGTGAGAGGTCTGCAAGTGGCCATGAGATTGGAGCTGCGTTTGCTTCCTGAAAATCTGCCTTTCAGACTGTCCCTGAAGCGTTTGCTGTATGTATTTGCTTACTTACACCCATCCCTGCACTGCTGGCACTTTGGGACCAGGACTCAGCGTGAAACACACACACATAGTTCTCAGTGGGTAATATTAAAATGGCTTTTATTCTTACAAATTATGTAAGAATAAATAATCAGTAAGGCAATATAAATTTTAAAATGAGCCAACTGTTATTCTGCAAGCCATTCCACATGGATAGCATTTATAAAATAAATGATTTATTCTTAAGCATAAGATTCTATTTAATAATAAAGTATTTGAAGTGAATTGTACATGCCTTTGTTACATGATTTTCACAATACTCTTACACATTTTCCCTCCATTGTTGTACAACTGAGAATTTCTCCCCCTTTACTCTTTTCTGAAAAACTGGTGCAATTTTAATCTGATTTGTATTTATTATCTTATCTCTACTTGTTTTTATATGAGAATTGCTAAATGGACTCAATACAGAAGTCTGTCTATAAGGATTTTACTAGGCTACAAGTGGCTTACAGAAAAACCATTTAATGCACAGGCAACTACCACAGTGACAAGATTTAAAAAAAAAAAAAAACTTATTATATTGTACGTTTGATCTATGAAGGTAATGAGGACTGTGCTTCGATGCACCATCCTATATAGCTTCTCCACTTGTAAAACTCTTTTAAGATCAAGATATAATTAGGTACAGCTACTTAAAATCTTGCCTAGATTTTGTAAATTGAAACTTCTGTTTCTTAAAGAATCTGAGGATGGAGAGGTAGTTGAGCCTGTCTCTGTGTGCCTTTGTATGGACGGATGATTTATATTTGTGTAGGCAGATCTAAACCCTGTGTTTTTGTTAGAAAAAATATGTAATTTTTAAAAAACTATAATAAACGTAGAAGTTGTGAAAGAATGAATTGAAAATGCGGTACTTTTAATGAGGTTTTCTGTAGTGCACTTTGTTCCCCCTGCTTCCTTGCAGATGGATAGCTTATGAAGGATCTAATTTCTTGGGAAGACAAATCCTACTTGAGCCTAATGAGATCCCAAATTGGACAGTGTTCAGTGGCTGGAAAACAATTGGCTCTCTTCGTCCCATGAAGCAGGTAAGAAACAGAGAAACATAAGATCCAGAATAGCTTCGATTTTCTTGTAAAAAGGTCATAGCATCTGAATATTGTGCACTTAATTTAGTTTGCTTTTTATGTAAAAAGAGGAGTGGATAAACGTGCAGGAATCTTGTGGGTTTAAGCCAGTTCCTAAAATTGTATCTAAGGTTAACATGGCATTTTAGCCCTGGGACCAAAGTTTTATTAGCTAGGTTCACTTTCCATGAAAAAAAATAACTGTATGCCCTGTGGCAAACAACAGAAACAAGACTGAACTTCAGTATGTACTATTTTACTTCCTTAGCATTTGGATTTTTATTTTTTATCTACTTATGTAACACTCAAGTACGATCCTAGCAGTTTAATTAAAATAGTATTTATTGCACACCTACTGCTTGTCAGTCTGCTGTTCTAAAGCTTCCCACTGCACTTAGGATCCAATCTACACTCTTCAATGTGGTCTGTGTAACAAGACTGCCCCTGCTTTTCCAATTTCTCTCACCTGTCTCTTCGCTCACACGGCTGTGTCAGATGTATCCAAGTGCTGAATGCTATACCACTCAGGCTGCAGTAAGGCTGTGCCCTGCATAGGATGTTCCTTGTCTTTGTGTGTGTATGTGTGTGGTACCAGGGATAAAACTCAGGACCTTGCGCTTGCCAGGCAGGCACTTAAGCCACTGAGCTATCTCCCAAGCTGCTCTTTGTCTTTCTTGCCTTGCTTAGTCATCCTTCTGAATTCAATGTGTCAAGTCCTAACAGCCACCTTTTATCTTTTCTCCAAGTATAAATGGTATCCTAGAAGACCTGGTTCTTTTTCTATAGCATATTGTATGTAGTTGGTGACTACCTACGTATCACTGCACAGGGATTGTTTCCAGTCTGCTAGAAACTTCAAGGCAGTGCCTGTGCATGTTATACTTACTACTGTATCCCTAATACCAGTCACAGTGTCTGGCACTTTGTAGGAACTCAGGGAATAAACTCATCAGTTTAAGGAACTGATGTTAAAATGGATGGATGGATGGATGGATGGATGGATGGATGGATGGATGGATGGATGATGTTACCATGAAATGTGTAATGGAAGTTATAAGGGTAGGTATGATTTCTGCCTAATTAGAACATCTTATTTTTGTTGGGTAAACATGTCCAAATCAAAGCTGTAATACAACATGCAAAACAGTATATGATGATGAGAAAGGCGTAGGCAGTATCTGGATCAGAAAAGGCAAAGTACCTTCCTGTGTAGGCCAAGTGAGGAGATTTTCTAGGAGGCAGAAAGTACAAGCAGGTCTGTCAAGTATGACGGCTGGTGGATGTACCTTCTGTTCTCTTCAAGAACTTTCTCACTTGATTCTGACAAAAGTCCTTTGAATACAAATTATGATTCCCATTTTCTATTTCCAAAATTAAGGCACAGAGAGGTAAAACACTCAATGAAAGTAAAGCATATTTTAGACTCAAGATTGTAAACTAAATCTGTTATGTTCTAAAATCTGTGGTCTTACCAATCATGCTTTACTTTTCTCCAAAATAAAATCAGCATTTACAGAGAGCCACCATATACTCCAGGCAAGAAGTGGAGCATAGCACAGTGGCTCTAAGTGCTGAGGCCCTGATGTGCCAACCTGAGAAATGGTTAAAAATTCATTTGATGGTCTTGTCTTGCTGTCTCTTTCACACACATGCACACAATGTTCCTTCCCACCACTCCTGCATTCTCTTAGTTCAGATCCTCGCTCTGCCAGATGCAAGCTGTGTGATTTTAGTGAATCACTTTTCTCGGAACCTTAGGTTTCTCATTGTGTGGATTAAATAATGTATGTAAGGTTTTCCCTTACTCATACTACTGTGCTAATACATTTATTTTGAAAGATTATTCATGTTGTCCTTTGAGAGAATCAAAGGTGCTCTAATGAGGTACACCAAAACACCAGTAAGGGGCCAGAGAGATAGCTCAGCAGACTAAAGTGCCTGCTTAGGTAAGCTTACGCAGGCACAGGGACCACGGTTTGATCCCTGGCATCACATGCTGCACTCCCATGACAGGCCGAGCCAGCTCCCCACACCCCCACAAAAACACCAGTGACATTCCTGGTTCAAGACCTCATGACTTTTGCATCTTGTTCACATTTCCTGGGATGATGGGTAACCCCACTGGAAAACCATAGGGAAAAGCAAGGCAGACCAGGACTTTAACCTTAACCAACTACATAATTACTTAATTCTGCTTTACAAACTTTAGTAGCCATTTTTCCTGTCCTCCCCCCACGTAGGCCTCAGATGGACTACGTCACCAGATCTGTTTCCTACTGAGCTAGAAGGAAGTCCCCTCCCCACTGTTCAACATCCAGGGATAAAGAATGAGAATAGCTTATAATTTTATGATGAAGCTTTTTGACAAAAATGATATACTTCCTGTATTGTGCTTTAGGAACTACCTGATTCCTATTCTGATTAAACATTTAATTTCAAAATTATATTTTAATACATTATTTTCGCTGATGTTCATCTGTTTAGCATCCAGCAAAGGAAGGAATTTAGGCTTCTAAAATAGTAATTTGTGAGTTATATACATTTAATTTTTTGGACAAGCATATTAGTACTGTTTTTAGTTCATACTATTATTTAGAAACTCAGAATTAAAATGTACTCCACTTTGAGGCTGGAAATTAGGACGTCACTAAGGTACTGGTAATGTAGATCTGTGTTTTTAAGTATAATTACAGTGGAGGCAGACTACAGATGTGTAATAAGGGTAATTAGTACCCTGCTTGATTTAATTGATTAAAACTGTGATGTTTAGTCCTAAAGTAATTGAAATTCTGTCATCTGTTAAGGTCATACTTGTTTTGTTATATGTACAAGGTAGTTAAATTATAATGAAAATACACTGAAGCAAATTTAGCAATACTTAACAGTAGGGGACCAAGCTGAATTATAGAATTTTAAGTGCATTATGGGCTGTATTATAAATGTGGCAGGTTTTTTTTTTTTTCTTTCTTTTGGCGGAACTGGGGATTGAACTCAAGCCCTTGCGCTTGCCAGGGAAGCGCTTATTTCACTGAGCCATCTCTCCAGCCCCTATGTGGTAGGTTTGAAACATATAAAAACATATTGCTAGTAGAGGCCTTGTTTGCCATCCTTAAATTGCCAGGTAATTCACCTGTTTACTCATGTAAGTGCTCAGAATAGTTCTTTCATTAGGAGTATTAAACATGGTAACAATTATCAAAATCCAACTGGCTTCATGTTGATGTGTCATGTTTCAAAAATATGGTCAACCATACCATATTGTATTTATATAGTGCTTAAGTGTCTCAAAGTGAAAGTGTGGTTTCATTAATTAGGTTCTAATTTCAGTGCCAACAAGATAGAGGCCTAAATCATGATGTTCAAGAAATGGTTTCTGTTGAACCATGCCTTTTCACTGTCTTTCTTACACTACCAGTGGTTAAATCAGTCTTATTCCCTTTGTCTTTCAAGTAATTAGCACGGGATTGGGGATACAGCTCATTGGTAAGGTGTGTGAGAGGCCAATAGTTCAATCCTCAGCAATGAAAAAAAAATTGTGTATATCTACGTAGGTCTTAACCATCCCACTTAAGAGGAAAGTTTTGGTACAAACGAGTATGAATCTACACCTGTGTTAACTTCACTTGTAAAGCTAGGTCCAAAACTGTATCACCTGAAAGGGTTGTTCTGTGATGTCAAATAGACAAACATTACTAGCATCATGACATATACAGTGCTAAAGGCTCAATTAATATTAGCTATTATGCATAGCGGTAAGTCCCAGATTTAATATTTTTAAACTTCCTTTATAGATTCTAGCTCAAAGAGATGAAGTCTTTTGTTAACTGATTTTTGAATAATGAAAGTAGTGATTAAGCATGTGGGTGCTTCCTTTCAAACATGTACAGGTCCTAGGTAAACAAAGATATTACCACATCTCCTAGGACCCTCAGCTATCTAGACCATCTATACCAGTCATTATACACTTAATCATAGCTTGAGAAAGTGTTTGTCTTTCCTAAGCTGTTACAAGATCTTTGTAGGCAGTACCTTGCCCTTGTTCCCATTCCTGTCTATCTCAGCATAGCTCTCATATGTGAATGTGAAATGAAACTAAAGTCCTGAATGCTTCACCACCATCCCCTTGCTATGCAGGGTTCTAGTGACTTAAACAGTTTACTTTCAACTTAATTTTAAATTTATGCATTTGGTTCAGGGTCTTACTACACAGCTAGTGGGGACTCATAGTGATCCTCTTGCCTTCAGCCTCCCCAGCACTGGGATTACAGGCATACCCCAACATGCCTGGACTTGATGGCTGCCTCCACGCACTCGGGCAGGGCCAGCACAGCCTGTGGTTCCCAGGGGCGGGGCCAGTGTGGCCTGTGGTGCCCGGGATCAAAGCCTGGTCCCTAAGCTTGCCTAAACAGGCACTTAGTTGGCTGGAGCTATCTCACTGGCCCTATCTTTACTCCTTCAAAAGGGCACTTCTCAGAAAATATGACTGCACAACAAATCTTTGTGCTTAGTTGTCTAAGGATTTATCAAGAGAGAGAAAAGCTTTCCTTTTAGAAGGGTGTACCCACATTGAAAAGTTTATTTGTAAATGCCTCTTTCTCCTGTCACAGCCTGCAGTGTACATCAGAATAAAGAACCGAGCCCAGGATGAGTATCTGACAGTCACTGGAAATCTAGCTGACACAAGGGCAACGTCTGTATGCGTCTCTCCCTACAGTGGAAAGAATACTCAGATATGGCACTACTGTCGAGGACTCTTTAAATCCAAGGTGCTCTACTTTTTGATATTTTATATTTTTATTTTGGAAAGTGGATTGCCAAGTAACTGGCACAAATAAAATAATAGGACTTCCTTCACTGCATGGTTGTAAAAATACTACTTAAGTAATGCTAAATCATTTAAGCAAAATGGACTAAGATACTTCTTTGATCTAGAAAATTTAGATATAAGTAAAAACTAAGGTTTTTACATATGGTAGATGAGCTTAAGCAAATTTTTTTAAAACCAATGATGTAAGTCACTGGATCTGAATTAGAACATGTTTGAAACAATCCTCACTTGAAGAACAGGTATCATCAGCTATCTGTGTGGTTCCAAAAATGTTAAAAACCCTTTTGTTTTCAAGATATACAATAAAGTAATAGTAGAATAAAGGAGCCATTACTGGAAAGAGCTTATAATGAGATTTAGATTTGCTTTTTCTGTCTCCTCCATTATGTTTGATCCTATGAGAGAGAAGGTACTGCTTTAGAAAATATTAAAACTACATTTTAGTGTATCACCAATTTATCTACTTTTCATGCTTTAAAAAATGAAAAGCATGTTACAAATAATTATTGTCTGGGATATCTTTAGCACGTCATGGGATATTTTTCTTTTTTTGTTTTGTTTTTTTTATTTTTAACTGATAACAGACTCTATGTTTTATTTTATATATATTAATTTCAACTTAGAAAATTATCATAGGAAGTGAGAAGATAACTTGACAGTCTAAGGGCCCACCTGGCAAGTGCAAGGACCTGGGTTCAATCCCTGGTACCACATGCCATACCAACGCAGAGCTGAACCGGCCACTGAACCTGGGCATGGTGGCGTACATCTGTAATCCAGTGCTGAGGAGGCTGATACAGGAGGATCACTACAAGTCTGAGCTGTATAGCAAGACCCTGTACCAAATAAATAAATAAATAGTCATAAATATTTTTCTAAGATAGTAAGTTTGATTCAACAGTTATATAATATTTTATCTCATGTATATACCACTACTTACTTAAAACCACCATATCTTAGGCTCTTTCATTATTATAAAAATTATATAATGCATGTTGTTTGCCTGCATTTTTTTT